ACGATGCAGCAGAAAAACTGCTTTTGTTTCCTGACTCATCGGGAATATTTGACGCTATGGAGTCACTGCCGCTGATCAAGATGTGCCCCCCCCCCGAATTCGACCCCCAGGTGCCCCGCACACCTTTACCCCTGGGTAAAGATGACCCTGATATGGAGACCCCAAGGTTCCCTTCACCTGCTTCACAGCCCATAAGGTCTAGAAACATGTGTTTGTGCTTTTTTTAAAAAAAGCAGACATTTTGAGCAAGCTAAATTCTGTGCATTTCCTGAAGACATATAGCCCTGTTCACTATATAACAAAGACAAAAGGTTGTCTCCAATAGTTGTCCTACTCAGAGTAGACCCATCAAAAGTAATGGACATTGACTCACTTGGGTCCATTAGTTATGAGTGTAGTTTAGCTGGATACAGCTCAAAGAGATTTGCAGTTCTATTTATCTAAGTAGATTTCATCAAGTGTGTTTATTTGTGTGTAGCAGGGACGATGACGTGACAGCCTGCTTATTGTTTTTACTGAGGATGTAACTATACTTGACATTGCCCATGAAAGCCCTGGCTTCCTTTTCAAGGATATCTATGCTCTCCCCCCCCTTTTGGCAGACTCCCAAAATGTTTTCTTCTTCTTCCCCTTTTTGGTCCTCTGCCCTTTGCTTGTATTGCAAACTCTCTATTGCAAATCCTACTAATGGAAATGAGATCCTTTGTGGTCAGATAGAGGCTGTAAGCTGCTCACAACAACAGATGTTTTCTCTGTCCCCAGAATGTCAGAGGTTTGTTGCACCCACTCTCAGATCCCTGTTGCTAACCAGGCATGGAATGCCTTTAAAAAAATCTCTCTCTCTCTCTCTCTGTGTGTGTGTGTGTGTGTGTGTGTGTTGCGGTGCAGTGTGTTTGCTTCAAAACCTGGATATCTTTTCGAGCTCAGAATTTAATCCAAGTTGGAGAGGTTATCAGATATCAAACCCTCTGACAGAGAACTTAGGGGGTGAATGGCGACTGAAAAAGAGCAGGAAAAGGGAGCACTGAAAAAGAATATTGAGGTATTGACATTTTATTGTTGTTGTTGTTGGATAGAGGGGAGAGTTCCCTTGAAGCTTGCATAAACATAAATAAATAAATAAATAAATAATAAGGGAGCATGCAGAACAGGGCCTTTTCAGCAGTGGCTCCCAAAACAAAAGCCCAAGCCTTCATCATTCTTGGTCATTGGCCATGCTTGCTCCAAGGGCTGATGGGAGTTGTAGTTCAACAGCCTCTGGAGGGCCAGAGGTTCCCTACTCCTGCCTTACAGCATCATGCATTCTGAAGTGGCCCTTAGCAGTTAATTATTATCTGAGCTGCAGAACTGGCATGATGACATGGTTTCAGAAAGTTTGTGTTATGCTGGGTTACTGTTGTTTCCTTGCAGCCTTTTTTATAATGTTTCAAAGTGAGATGGATATTCTGAATGGCTCTAGCTTATATTTCAGTATGTTTGGGTATGTAGTTTGTAAACTATTTATGAAGTTTTTTTCCCCCTGCTTGAAAAGAGGTTAATAATAATACTACGTGCAAATCCACCCAGTGGAAATAGCACATAGAATCATAGAATCATAGAATCATAGAATCATAGAGTTGGAAGAGACCACAAGGGCCATCGAGTCCAACCCCCTGCCAAGCAGGAAACACCATCAGAGCACTCCTGACATATGGTTGTCAAGCCTCTGCTTAAAGACCTCCAAAGAAGGAGACTCCACCACACTCCTTGGCAGCAAATTCCACTGTCGAACAGCTCTTACTGTCAGGAAGTTCTTCCTAATGTTTAGGTGGAATCTTCTTTCTTGTAGTTTGGATCCATTGCTCCGTGTCCGCTTCTCTGGAGCAGCAGAAAACAGCCTTTCTCCCTCCTCTATGTGACATCCTTTTATATATTTGAACATGGCTATCATATCACCCCTTAACCTCCTCTTCTCCAGGCTAAACATGCCCAGCTCCCTTAGCCGTTCCTCATAAGGCATCATTTCCAGGCCTTTGACCATTTTGGTTGCCCTCCTCTGGACACGTTCCAGTTTGTCAGTGTCCTTCTTGAACTGTGGTGCCCAGAACTGGACACAGTACTCCAGGTGAGGTCTGACCAGAGCAGAATACAGTGGCACTATTACTTCCCTTGATCTAGATGCTATACTCCTATTGATGAGGCCCAGAATTGCATTGGCTTTTTTAGCTGCCGCGTCACACTGTTGGCTCATGTCAAGTTTGTGGTCAACCAAGACTCCTAGATCCTTTTCACATGTACTGCTCTCAAGCCAGGTGTCACCCACATGCACAGCAGCCACAGATTGTTTAGTGTCAGTTGGAAAACTGTTCATTTCTGCATTGTATTTGAGCTTTCACACAATGTGAAAACCACTTCTAGAAAACTAATGGAATATAGCATAGAATTTTTGCATGCAGTTTTGCCTGTTATACACATTTTTGCAAAGCAATCCTCCCAAATATAATGCATTTTTGCAGGTTATTTCATTAGCAATTACATTTTGCATTTTTGTTCACATGAATTGGCTGGAGAACCACACAACAAAAATCAGAAAAAAGTGCAAATTTCAAAGGGTGGTTTTGTTTGCCTTTAATCGAAAAGTGAATCGAATTTCTCCTTCCAAGATGCCCCACAGCAACGTCACACTGAGGTTGTTCTAGGGCAGGGGTAGGCAACCTAAGGCCCGGGGGCCGAATGCGGCCCAATCACCTTCTCAATCCGGCCCATGGATGGTCCAGGAATCAGCGTGTTTTTACATGAGTAGAATGTGTCCTTTCATTTAAAATGCATCTCTGGGTTATTTGTGGGGCCTGCCTGGTATTTTTACATGAGTACAGTGGTACCTCTAGTTCCAGAGGCCCGTTCCAGAGGCCCGTTCCAGAGGCCCGTTCCAGAGGCCCGTTCGCAACATGAAAAGAGCGCAAAACTGCAGTGGCGCGTATGCGCATGCGCGGGTTGCAATTCGCCGCTTCTGCGCATGCGTGTGACGTAATTTTTGCGCTTCTGCACATGCATGAGCGGCGAAACCCAGAAGTAACCCTTTCTGGTACTTCCAGGTCGCTGCGGGACGTAACCTGAAAGAACGTAACATGAAGCGGATGTAACATGAGGTATGACTGTAGAATGTGTGCTTTTATTTAAAATGCATCTCTGGGTTATTTGTGGGGCATAGGAATTTGTTCATATTTTTTCCCAAAATATAGTCTGGCCCACCACATGGTCTGAGGGCAGTGGACCGGCCCATGGCTGAAAAAGGTTGCTGACCCTTGTTCTAGGGCATTGCCAGAAATTTATTAATGGCAGCTTTGAGCTGTCCCCATGTACACTGGAGCACTAGAAAACGAGAGCTGGAAAAAGTGGGGCTGGGGCATGCACCCAAGCAGGGTTCAGCCAGGGTTGGGGCTGCAGCAACTACCCAAGGGTGCCCAACACTGGCACTAGGCCTGCACCCATCAGTGCGCAACACAGCGGGGGAAGAATCATAAGGCCACCTGGCAGAAAGGAAGAGAAGCTGAACAAGGAACATGCATCTGGATGAGTAGTGCAGTTAATGAAGGCTTTGCAACAGGGTCCCCGCCTCCCGCCTGGGATAGAATTAGGTACCATCTGTGGCCAAAAAGAAAGAAAGAAAACGCTTTGAGACCTTTGCCCACGCCCCACGGAACTGCACTATAAATAAACTGATCAGGGTTTCAGCGTATATTACATGGTGCTACTTGCCTGCTTTAAAGAGAGAGAGAGAGAAAAAAAAGAGGCTACAAGGCATTTTTCCCCTGTACATGCTTTCCTAATGCACAATCAAATCCACTTTCTTCTCATTTGCAAATTGTGGGGGGAGAGTGATAGATTGAGATTACCCTCCTCTTCCTGTGCCCCTCAAAGAGCTTTATTTTGCACAATGGCCCCATGCTGACTTGTAATACAGGAAGAGCTTATTGGAAAAGTGATAGACCAGCCAGCAATGAGGACATATCTCTCAAGAAACATAAGATGAGAGCAATGGAGCCAAATAAACCAATGTTCTGTAAAGCCATTTGAAGAACAAGAGGGCTCTTTGCTAACACACTCACCCACCACTAACCATTGTAAGTTGCCTTATACCATTGATGCTATCTATTCTGGCAGTAGCTCTTCAAGATTACAGACTTACAGTCTTCTCCAGGCCCTACCTGGAGATGCCAGAGATTGAATCTGTGACTTTCTGCATTTAAGGCTCTACCACTGAACTAAAGTTCAAATCCTAAAGTTCAAATTTACACTAAGTTCAAATCCTAAAACCATGCATTTTTTCTGTTTAGCAAAATGGTCATTTATGATAGGCAGGTTCTCCTTTACAGAGAGTAAAGATGTTATGTTGGGTAAGATTAAAGATCCTGTTTCTCACATAAGAATAGCCAAGGGTCCAGTAGCTTGCTCTCAGAGCAGCCAACCAGATGCCAAAGGGAAGCTCACCAACAGAACCTGAGTGCAAGGGAACGTTACCTTTCCTTGAGCTTGTCTACTCTTCTTTTAAAACCATCCAAGTTGGTGGGCGTTGCTACATCTTGTGGGAATGAACTCCATAGTTTAACTATGCACTGTATAAAGCAGTCCTTTGTTTGCCTGTCCTGCATCTTCCAACATTCACCTTCATTGGATGGCCCCAAATTCTAGCATTACAAGAGAGGGAGAAACAGGTATCTCATGGTCGTTCAACAGATGCCTTCAGGAAGCTCCAAAGCAAGCTGTGAAGGCCACAGCCCTCTCTAGATGCTGGTCTCCAGCCATTTCCCACTTCAGAGAGACACTGCCTCTATGCAATGAAGTTCCATGAAAAATATAAGAAGGTCCCTGCTGGATCAGACAAAAGGCCCAGCTGGCGAGCATCCTATTGACTATGCGGAATAATAGCTTGATCAGAACCAAAGCCTTTTCACATGTTATGTGGTTATCAAACCGATACGATGGGAGCCTCATGTCCCAAGGCAATGGCACCAACTCACCTGCTCCTTGGACTCTGCATTATTCTCTGACACATCACTGTTGTGGTCGAGTGTTTCCCACCGTTCCCTACGTTCTGCGTCACGTCCCACTGCCTTGGGTCACTTGCCTTTGCACTCAGGATATTTACTCCTTTCTTTACCTTTGCCCTATTGGGAAAAAAGAATTGCAGTTGTAAACTTCACCATCATCACCATCATCCATCATCATCTTTATTTGTATGCCGTCTTTCCACAGTTAAAAAACAATGCTCAAGGCGGCTTACAGCATAACAACATTTACATAATTACAAAAGTTGTAAACAATAAATAACGGTAAAGGTAAAGGGACCCTTGACCATTAGGTCCAGTCGTGACTGACTCGGGGTTGCGGCGCTCATCTCGCTTTATTGGCCCGAGGGAGCAGCACACAGAAACGCCATTTACCTTCCCACTGGAGAGGTACCTATTTATCTACTTGCACTTTGACCTGCTTTTGAACTGCTAGGTTGGCAGGAGCAGGGACCGAGCAATGGGAGCTCACCCCCTCGCGGGGATTTCAACCGCCGACCTTCTGATCAGCAACCTACAGCGCCACCCTTGTCCCTCAAACAATAAATAAACCACATTAAAAAAAACCACCATATTAAAATTGTTTCCCATTTGGTTGTGTATTTTTTTAATGTGGCAAACAATAAATTAACCACATTAAAAAAATACACAACCAAATGGGAAACAATTTTCACATAAATCAAAATCTAAAGCTAAGAATACAGCATTAATATCACAGTTTTAAAATGACATAGGTAAAAAATAACAGCAATTTAAACAAAAACAAAACAAAATGGAGCCCTCTCTGCCCAGCAGCAGCAGCGGCAGCAGTCCTTTATAGAGCCCATCAGGCCCCACCCTAGGCCAGGTGTTGAGTGGCAGGACTGGGGCCCTCAGGCGCTGAGCAGGGGGGTCACAATAATACAGTGGTACCTCGGGTTACATACGCTTCAGGTTACATACGCTTCAGGTTACACACTCCACTAACCTAGAAATAGTGCTTCAGGTTAAGAACTTCAGGAAAAGAACAGAAATAGGGCTCCGGCAGTGCGGCAGCAGCAGGAGGCCCCATTAGCTAAAGTGGTGCTTCAGGTTAAGAACAGTTTCAGGTTAAGTATGGACCTCCGGAACGAATTAAGTACTTAACCCGAGGTACCACTGTATTGCAAAGTGCAAGGTATACACACACCCCTGCACACACAAACACACACCTGTATAGGAACCTAAGAATAAGCCTGAAGGTCAGGGTTGGGAAATACTTCTAAAATGGTCAAATGAGGCATTTCCTTCTGTGAGATACAAAACAGAAATACGGGTACCTTTACTAAAACGATCAAAAGAGGCAATCCCTGCTATATGAAAGCAAACTGGAAGTGACTTCTAATGAGTTCAGAAGTCTTTCCTGTTGTGTGACAGGGAAAGAGGAATTCAGGGAAAACAAATAAGGAAGCCACCATTTTGAACGGCATTACACTCCACCCTGACAAAGAGTCCTGGCCTGGAAGATATTGCCAAAAGTCTGCCTAGCTCAAGGTTATCCAACATGGTGTCCTCCAGATGTTGCTGGCTGGAGTTGATGGGAGTCTAACAACATCTAGAGAGCATCACCTTGCCTAGCCTTGGCTTTTCCCAGCATCCTGTTTCTTACAGAGGCCAACCAGAGGCTTTTGGGAAGCCAGTCAGACCATCAAGTAATGAGCAATCTGAAGCGCAATGGCACAGGACAAGATAGAGACAAATGCAAGATGGCGTCAGTTCAGAAAGCAGGCTTCGGAGCTCCCCAGGACTTTAATGGACTTTAATTGCTGCTCAGGGAAGTAATTTTTCCTTTCTCCACTTTAAACTTACCAATTCACTGAGAACTTATCAGCACTTTCTTATCTATGTTATAAGAAACACTCTGGGCAAGTTCTGCGAGAAGCATCCAGGGCAGGCCGCTAGCTGTCAATTGCCTTTTATACTTTGTTTTTTGACTTCCTGGCAGTCGTTACACAGAGAAGCTCATCAATAGAACAAACTGAGCACCTTTTCCCTTTCTTTTCTTGCTAAGGAAACCTCTCTTTGCTTACTCCTCACTGCATTATTATGCCTGCTTGTAAACGCTACAGGGATCCACAGGAGGCAGTCCTTTCACCAGTTCCCAAACAATCAAAAATGGAGGACAAATGCCCTGTGACCTTCATTGAATTAGCCTGAAAAGAAGCCAAGCAATTTCCAAACAAGGAGGAAATGTACGGTCCCACGTCTGAGCCAATTCATGTATGATGGCATTGGAACAGGAGGTAGCTATCCTGCCTCCCTCCAGCTGTGGCAGGAGCGTAGCTCTCATCATCCCTATCCATTGGACATGCTGGCTGGGACTGAAGAGACTTTGGGCTCAACAGCATCTGAAGGGAGGCCCAGGCTAGCCACCCCTGTGCCAAAAGGAAGTTAGACAAATTTATAGAGCATGGGCTGTGCAATGCTCATTAGCTATATGGAACCTGTTTGTGAAGAAGCAAGATCTCACTGAACTCCAGGTGCTGTGATTAAAATAAAAGCATGGCAGGGGATATTCTCTTCTTGCCCTGGTTGGCTAGTGTGATGGCTAGTGTGGGAGACAAGATAGACCAGGGTTGCATTCGGATATGGGGAATACTGTGTTGGCTTTTCTGATTGCAACGCCAGTGGTTCTTTCATGTTTTCTGGCATTCATTTAACACTGCAATACTGGCTGCATTATGGAACTGTGGCTTTCCGGCCATTATCAACAGAAGTATAGCATCCCAACGAAGGTACCACTCTATTCTGCCTTGGTCAGACCACACCTGGAGTCCTGTGTCCAGTTCTGGGTGCCACAATTTAAGGATATTGACAAGCTGGAACATATACAGAGGAGGGCGATATCAACAGAAGCATAGTGTCGCAATAAAGGGAAGATGACCAAGATGATCCAGGGTCTGGAAACCAGGCCTTACGAGGAACGGTAGAGGGAGTTGGGTATGTTTAGCCTGGAAAAGAGGAGACTGAGAGGAGATAAGATAGCCATCTTCAAATATCTCAAGGGCTATCATATGGAAGAGGGAGCAGGCTTGTTTTCCCCTGCTCCAGAGCGTTGGACCCAAACCAATGACTTCAAGCTACAAGAAACGAAATTCCAACTAAACACCAGGAAGAACTTTCTGACAATAAGAGGTGTTTGGCAGTAGAACAGACTCCATTGGAAGGTGGTGGATTCCCCTTCACTGGGGGATTTTTAAGCAAAGGCTGGATGCCCACCTGACAAGGATGCATTAGTTGAGATTCCTGCTTTGCAGGAGGTTGGACTAGATGACGTTTGGGGTCCCTTTTCAATTCTACAGTTCTATGATTCTATGATATACCAACATGCCACACTATATTTCATTTACCTCAGTGGGTGTGGTGTGACAAAACAATGAACACCATTGGATGACATTGCTACTTGCTTCTGCTCCCTCATGAAAGCAGCCAGAAATAACTGCATGCCCTTATACAATCTCCAGTTTTTGTCACTTCGCTCCTGTGATTTTCCATTCTAAGGGGGCTGCAAATGGATCCCACCCCCCGGAATTAAGCAGCACAGAAACGAGCACTAAACATGCACTAAGTTCCATCAGTTTTCCTGAAGTGGCTCTTACATTGTATAAAATCTCAAATTAATGCATAAACTAACAGTTAGGGAAACGTCAGGCAAATGGAATAAACTGTAGTGTGAATGCAGCCTAGCCTGAGGTAGTGAACATGGCGCCCTCCAGAAACAGCAGGCTGTTGGATAGACTTGTTTGGGTAGCCTGCATGGGGGTCCTCCAGGACTCCAACTCTTCCTAACCATTGACCCTAATGGCTGGTTGGCTGAGGGCTGATGGGAGTTGTAGTCCACATCTTATACTGAGTCCATCTAGCTCAGTATTACCTACACCGATTGGCTCTCCAGTATTTCAGGCAGGTGTCAATCCCAACCTTACTTGGGATTTGAACCTGGGACCTTCTGCTTGCAAGGCACACGCTCTACCACTAACACTGAGCCCTTCTCCCATCTGGACACTGGCTATCTCTGGGCCAGAAAGGTCTTTATTCTGATCCATCAGGGCTCTTCTTCACGTTCCAAGATGTTGAGTAGCAGCAGATACACGAGAGGAAACTGCTGAAATGACTACTGACATAGACCCTCCCCACCAAGCCTTTTCTTCCATCTAGACATCTCACACATTGGCTGCCCTGTGCTGCCTCAGAGAGATCCGTTGTCACTTGCAATTGGAGTTTGTATGGGGGGGGGGAGAGGCTACAATTTCCCCAGGAGTTGGAGATTGCTCTTTCCACCGTGAAGCCCGGCAGAGGTACGAGCTGGCTTTGCGGTTGATTAGAGAGGACGTTTTCGCTGGACAAGGTTAGTAGCACAATCCAGGACTGGAGGACAAAAATTTAAAAGGGGGGGGTGGATACAAGAACAGCAAGAGGAATAAACAACTCTGGTGACAGAGCCATTCTGTTAATTAACCCACCGTATCGAACATTTTGGGGAAAGCAACCTGCCTTTATATGCACACACAGAGAGAGACATTATATAATGGCCTTCTGGAGGCAGGAAGAGTCCAGGAGTAAAGTAGGTTATCCAGAGTAAGGGAAAATCAATGCAGTGATGGCACTTAGTGCTGGAATGGGCGGCTGGAATGCCCCAAAGACTCAAGCTTCTAAATAAATATGTGGAATTATAATCTGCAGCACTCACTCCTCCCTCCGCAGTATCTCTCTTCCCCTCTCGCAGTTTTATATAACAATGTCAACAGATGAGGTGGAATTAGGCCAGGAAGTGAAAGATGTCTGGGTTTCTGTGCTTATTTTCTTAAGCCAACTCAGCAGCAGCAGTTATATTACAAAGGCATCCTCTTTGGCTAACCACAAGAACACGGGAAGCTGCCTTATTCTCAGTCAAGTCATTGGTCCATCTAGGTGAGTGTTTGTCTATACTCTCTAGACAGCTTACATTTGCAGCCCTGCTTGGAGAAGCTGGGGATCAGCCCTGCTTGGAGAAGCTGGGGAACTGAGGATCTTCTGAGTACATTTCCAAGCACAATTTAAAGTGTTGGTGCTGACCTTTAAAGCCCTAAACGGCCTCGGTC